AATAAAGCAGGTGGAAATACCAACCCCCTTTGCAGGAAAGCCCCCACCACCACCCTACCACCTCTGCTGCCTCTCCCACAGCTCAGACTTTTCATCAGCCCACACTGTGGATGCAGGACCTGATGGACTTCCCCTTGGTAAGACAGCATCTTGGTTATACTCTTGGACTCTCCCAGATAGCTCTGTCTCCTAGCATTCCTCAGAACATTTATCCTATACCACTTTCAGACTGGCCACACCAACCCCCAGCTTCCCCTAGCAAATGTCCACATTCATATTCAAATTCTGAGGAAGGAAGAAAACACAACCTTTTCCAAAACAGCCTCATAGAAACAACCTCAACACTACTGGTTCCATCCTGAACTACTAGAACTACCGACCCAAAAGAGCAGCACAGGTAGAACATTATACAACAAGAATTACGAAAATAACAGCCCATTAACCGGAATTAGGAAAATAACAGCCCTTTGCTCCACAGGTTAGTGTCTGCTGCTGTTGATAAAGATATTGTTTCATAGCAAGGCCAGAGTGTAGAATGAAAGAGCCAAGTTTTTAGATCCATCTGATAAAAAAAGGAAAATCAGGAGTATCTGTTAGTGTAGTCCTGCAGGAGCGAGCAGGGCCACAGCACTGGCAGGAACCTCAAATTCCTGACCAAACCCTCTTCCACACAATGCCTGCCGAGAGAAAGGAACCCAGGCGGGAGCCAGCCCGACGCTGCTGGACAGACAGGGCTGGCCTCGCAGGATGTCAGAGCACCAGGCGGCTGCCAGAGATACTGGGTTTTCACACACTTGCAGGCTGACTGTTTTGCTCTTCAGGTAATTAAACAAGGAAGCAGAGCTGCTGGGTAGGAGCCTGACCCCCAGCGCTGCGGCTCCAGGGTTCTGCATATCAACTTCCACAAGAACTGCCTGGAGCATCAACAGAGTGTTCCCCTCACTCTCTCTCTCATTTCCTCCCCCACCTCTTTCTCAGTCTGACCCAGAAACAAATCCTCCGAACAAAAACATCCACAGAAAGTCTGAATCTATTTGTAATAAAAACCCTAGTACTGTTCCCTTCCAAATTTTATAAAAGGAAAAAAAATTACTCTAATGGCAGGAACTTCATAAAAATTCACATATAACAAATCTATGTAAATTATCGGTATCTGAGTCAAGATGGATTATTCAAAGAGAATAATACCAAAATAATAATTTTCTTCTTTGGTGTGTGCTTGATTAAAGTGTGGATTCTTGGAAATCGAAAGAGCTCCCCCCGAAATAAATGCTGATATCCCAGTTCACAAATTAAACGTGTTGCATCCTGTCATTAATACTGTTATTTTCAGTTTTGATCATGGGCACTATGGTAAGCAAATGCCCTCCGATGTTTCTTTAAAAATCTTATTTAAACAAAATTCTGAAATATTTCCTAGTGTACAAAAGAAGTCACCATTATAACTAAGAAATATAAAAAAAATTCCTTCAATCATTAAGAAAGTGGTATATTTATATACTTATATTTATTTGTATCTGTATATAAATGCACCACTTTCTTAATCTTTGAAGGGATAGTTTATATATAATATATACTACATACACACACACAAAAATAAATATTAAGTAATGATTAGAATCACATACATAATACATTCTTCCTTCATCTCAAAACCCATAGAGTAAAACACTGGCTGAAAGAGATATAGACCAAAAAGAGAGAAGAATACAAAAGCCTGCCTGCTTGTCTGTGTTCAACACAAAGAACATTAAATGAAAACAACTGGCACGCTGCCAAATTCCTATAGAGGCAAAGAGATTCAAATAAATTGATTTCACGCATCACATTGACCTGGGATCAGTGTGCGGTGCTACAATAAGCTCAAAGCTCCATGTGGGGTAAAGCCCATTAATGCTATCAGGCCCCTCGAACACACACAAGAAAAACAAAAAAATAAATGCAAATTGCTCTCAAAAAACCAGCAATATTTCTCAAGAAAATAACTGTCCTCTTTTCCTAATCAAGATCTATTTGAAGGTGTGCAACACCATCTAAATTACTTCTTTTTAAAAATACAAATGTGGCTTTTGAAACACATACATTTCTATAAACTGGTGAAACACAAATACCCTGTCCTGTGATAAGAACATAAATACTACTACTTTCCAACAAGTTTCCTCTGTCAAAATTGCCCTCTTGCATCTTCTAGACAATCAATGGACCCTTTTTTAAATATGCCAAACACTGGACTCTTCACGGTATTTTCCTTAATGGTCTATCGAATCAAGGTCCTCTGGCTGGACACCACCCACGCTGCCCCAAACCCACCTACTCCCCACAACGGTACACACCGCAGGAGCACAGCTTCAAGCCTGGCTCTGCAGTACCAAGTGCTGTGCATATTTTGAGTACGATTTAAAACACTGGTGGGAAACATATTAGGGTTTTGTCTTTATCAGCTTCCACCTAAGCTAGTGGAAGCTTAGCATCACTTTCCCCTCTGCATCACTTTCCCCTCTGGCTTCCCAACAGATGCAGGCCTGTCTCCGGGTGACTTACTTCCACCTGACTTTGAACTCTCCACACAGGCTCTCTGGTGCCACTTCAGGCCGTTCTTCCTTACAGCCCCAACTGTTCAACTTCATAGAGGTCTTTGCTTTTTCTCCTTCCAAATTACAACCCCAGGAACCCAATGGCTGCCAGGTGTTTGCAAATTAAAAGTATGCGATTTCTGTTTTCTACTTCTTGGGCCAACTTAAGTCTGAACCCCAAATTTTTATACACCCATTACTATGACAAAAAGGAAGAAAAATGGGAGTAATTTTTTGCCATTTTTAAAAAAAGCAAACGGTTATAAAATACGCCAATATAAGTGTCTGTATTTCTGCATGTGGGTATACACACCTTTTTTAAGAATGCATGCACACATGTGTATAGGAAACAGAGAGAGAAGAAACTCAACATAGTGTTTCTGATACATGATGCTGGGGGTTTGGTATTTGCATATTATAACAAATAACAGGCATTAGGCTGTTTTAAAATTCGTGTTCTTATCGTGCATTTTTTGCCTTGAATACGGATTTTCCATGCTGCCATCCTTCATGGCCAGCAGCCCAGATATATATCCACACATGACTAGAAGAGAATATGACGGTAATGGGAAGGGTTGATAAAGACCATGACTTTATGTATCTGTAACACAGACTCAAGCTTTTAAATAGTATATTCTTATCAATATGTAATCTATACCTTAGATATTTTACCATAACACCAAGAACCCCCATAGCAGTATAGCAGTATATAAGGCAGAAAGGCAAAAGTTATATCCTCTTAAAACAATCACTTTCTTCTGATGGAAGATGACAAGAAAACAATTCTAAAGCCAGGGTGGTTGAGGTGGTGGTGGTTATTATTACTAGTTGGTTGCTTTAACAGTAAGACAATCTTTCTTTCTATGCTGGACTTTAGAAATCTAACTGACCAAGATTTGAGTTCTCAGAAAATTAATTTTTAGTAACAATACATAAGAAGATAGAAGCAGAGGTAAGAAATGCCTCAACTACTTAATAAAATTTAATTCCTTGCTTTCTCTTTTGAATTTGTCTCTCTTTAATTACACTGGAATATCACCATCATAATATGAAGGGGGAAGAAAAGAAAGAGAAATACCATCAGAGAAACTAAATTGTGATTTAGACTACCTGAGAGGAATCTATAATTATGCAAGAAATTATTTCATTTTCTCTGCTCTTTCAAATACAAAAACGCCCGCATTTGCCAACACCTCCTGGGAACTTTAAGAATAGGCCAGTAAGTGAACTGCAAGAGTCGACTTCATGGGGTGGGCGCCAGCAGTGATATTTCCAGGGCACTGGCCACCAAGGGTGAATGTTTTGCTACCCCACTTTTCCTCGTTAGGCAGTCAGGCACAGAACTTCAAAAATGTATTCCCAAAATCACTTTCCAGTCACCAGAGTGCCAGCCAGTAGCTCAAAACATTTGTGTTAACTCTGTTTTTTCTTGCCAATTTATCCGTATTCATCTGTGCCTCTGCTCAAGTCCATCCACTAAACCCGAAAGCAGAACTGGCTACAGGAGACACCGACTCTCTAGAGTTCCTAATTCAGGGTTCTCTTTAATTTGCAAATGTTGTAGACTTTAAGAAGTCTCTTGCCAAATGGCAATGCACTTAGCTTATATTTCCTGTTTTCCTAAAGTTAGATATCATCCTTTTTTTTTTTTTTTCCCTTTTAATGTGCCCTCCGACATGAATTCTGCTTAGGAAGTTACATTCAGCAAAAAAAGTTTAAAAAAATCCAAGTCAATAAGAAATGATGAATAGAAAAATACTTATTCTCCTCTTTCATCAACAAACTGTTTCAGAAAACACCATCTCTAGTTACAATAAACACAAAAAATCGTGGCATAGCTTTTACTCTTTAACTCCAAGTACTGCTCAGCTTATGACAGATGTATTATGGAAACATGGCAAGACGCACTGCAAAAAGAAGAGGGTGAAAAAATTCGGTACTCGATCACTTTATATCTTCAGACCCAAAGCTATGAAACAAGAGCTCCCACAAATAGGCTGGCTAATCCCCACCCCAACCCACATGCCAAAATTTCAAAAATAAATTTTTACTTATTATTTTCTTTTTGATTGAATTTATTCTGTTAATTATGCAGGTTTCGGGTGCACAATTCTACAACACATCATCTGCACGCTGCATTGCATGTTCGCCAGCCCAAGTCAAGTCTCCGTCCATCACCACTTATCCCCCCTTCACCCTCTTCATTTGCCCCCCACCTGCCCCACCTGGCAATCACCACACTGTTACCTGTGTCAAAAACATTTTTTAAATAAATAATACAAACTCTTTATCAACAGGCATTAGAAAAAATAAGAAAAAAGGAAAGAAAATCTTCACAATTATAATGTATTGGAAAAAATAATAGATTGACTTTTTTTTTGGCACATAAGTAAATTTGCAAAATCAAAATATTTATCTGTTCCTTACCTTGACAATATTCAAAGTTCCCTTTTTTCCGGCAGTCACCTATTACTAAACTCAGTGCTCTCCAAGTGTTTCTTTTGACAGATATCATTCTCCACCAATCGCTCTGCTAATCTCCTCTCTCCTTTTCTGACTGGGACAGATATTATGTTCACCAGCCCAGAGATCAATCTTTTCTATTGACAACAACAAAGGGGGAAAAAAAACGCATATATCACAACCAGTCTGAAGTAGCACCCACCTACTTACAAGATAATACTAGACCAGTCTGTTTGTTTTAAGAAACAAATATAAGCTTTTCAAAATTTTAGAAGATCCCAAGACAATCCCCATTTTCTCAGTTCTTTATGACTTCTCTAAAGAACTCTGAATTCTCCAACCATCCGACTCAAAGCTGGATTCATTCTGAACCCGACAAATCCTCTTTCTTTATATTGGTGTTGACCACATGTACATCATCAGTACCTTAGACGAGTGTTAGATTTTACCTGCTTTGATAAAAAAATTAAAATAATCTGTCAGATAATATGATTTCTTTAGAACATGCTTTGAGACCTGTTGTTATTTTACATTTTGGGATTTTCACATGCAAATGAAGTCTTGTTTAAAACAAAGTGGTGTCCATATGGTTTCACTGTTCTGAAATTTAAACATTGCTATTATTAGCTAAAATAGTCTAAAGCTACCAATAATAGTAATGAATAATCTTTATATAATCAACTAGCTTAAAAATATTAGTAACAACAGTTATTGGCAAATCACTTTACCAAATGAACAAATCTCTATCCCTTCCTTTTTTTCCTAGAGCAATTCTAATATTCTTATTTTCAGGCTAGATTTGCAAGATTTAGAATTCGCTCATTCATTCTCAAACATTTATTGAAAACCTATTACTCACCTATTGCTATTACTACCACTACTATGAATAGAAAAAGTATCACTAAATGTGCATTATTTACTTTATGATACTATCTATGAAACAGGACCCTAGCACAATCATATGCACATAAGGTAGAAACTAAATAAATGCAAAAAAAAATAAAGATTTATAAAAGTCTGAAAAAGTATTACTAAGGCTGTTTCTATTATTTTTTAAGAGGCCAAAGTACTCTGTAGAAATTAAAAATAATGAATATACTCTAATATGCATATATGTACACAGATTCTTTTTAAGCATTATCTTTTATATGCTACATTATTATGACTCTGCCATCAGTTGCTTCTCATGTTTGTGTAGGTACCAATCCTAAAATGCGTTTGTACATGTGAATACGATTTGTTAATGCAATAAAATAGGAGACGGCATTACTGGGGGGAAGCCAGGAGTCCTGGTCAGGTCTGGACTTCCGCCATCTTGAATGGAAGTCAGTTGTTTCTCATTCTTTATGGCAAAAATCAAGGAAGGAATAGTTAGCAAAAATACAATACTGTAGTAGGTATTTCTTAGTTGGAAATTGTCTTGAAGCTCAGCAAAGGTCATTAAAGAAAGTCAGCTGGAACTGGGAAACATTTGGTTTACTATGAATCCTAAATTTCAGTTAAGAAAGTGACCAAGATACAAAGATACACATATACATATATACATATTCAAATACTGGGGGTGAGGCGGAGAGTGCAAGGAGGGGAGACTGGAAGTAAATACATCTAGATATTAAACGTAATTATGTCTGGAAATGAAAATGAGTCATTCTCTACAAAATCCTATTATTTCCAATATTTCTATTCCAAGGTAAGAACATTGCATAGACAATAAACAAATGTTATGGGGGAAAAAAAGAAAATGGGTACTTTTCTTAGCTTCAATCATGATACTTGATACTATATGGTGCTTTAGCAACCATCAACAAAAAAGATACCGGATGGCCTGCAAAAAGCGGTCCATGCCTCCGTGTGGGCCAGGGAGCATCAGCTCCACTGAACAACCGAAGTGGGCAGAGCACAGTCCCATCCCCAGAGTCTCGGTCTAGCTCTTCCTACTCACGGCTGCTTAGTACTAGGCCAACAACAGGGCTCAGTAATAAAAACGGTGCAGTGGACCTCGGTGTTAGGGGCACAAAATTACTATCCCCATAAACATCCTTTCAAAGATAAATGTCTCATTACAAATGATCCTCTAAGATAGAATATACCGCCTCACTTTTTAACTTTACTTATGTTCGTTTTGATCAGAGTACTCTAAAGTGAATGCAGAAAAAGCTGGCAGGAAGATAGTGTTACAAAATACTTTAAATGTGCATGTTCCTAAATTCTTCCATGTTAACATGGTATGCAAACATGCATGCAAACAACACACTATGTAAGACTAAAGTTACTTGTGAGAATGTTTCCCGCTTAACTGTGTAAAACAGAGAACACATTATACCACAATCAATAGGATAACTCAAAAAAAGAGAGACAGTACTAATGTTTAGATTTTTCCAAGTAACATCTTTGGAGTATTATGTATGTGCTTTATACATCCAACATATTAAATTGTCTTCCAATATGAAATAATGAGTAATGGTAATGAGCACTATGAAATATATATCCAGCTATTTGTGAAACTTACTCTACACTAAAGTCTGTGTTGCATTCAAATGATAGTAAATTTCTCCATCTTTAGTAATTGCTTTGTTTGGATCCTCAGCCCTCAAATTTGTAAGACCTGATTATGCAGGGAGCGTACTGAGACAAGTTTAAAAGCTAAACTACACCGAGAGGAGAATGCCTCAAACAATTTGTAGTTCTACAAGAGCATTATTAAAAAGGCCCAACATGTTATATTGCCATGGAAATTGTGGAAAACATACATTCCCAAACAAATATTACTTTTTCTCAATGGTATGAAGTAATGAAAACCACATGTGTAAATCTGCGATCCGTGCAGTAGTTCAAGCTGCAGCTAATAGAAAATACAGAAAGTGAACTCCGCTATATAAAAGATTCTTGTTACAGAAATATAATGTGAAAACCAGATGCAGACAGAAAACCTTAATCACAGATGGGAATGTAATCACTGGCACACAGAACGCTTTTTTGATCAATCTTAACCATATGCATAATGTATTTATTTTCTAAGGAATGCAATAACTTGAGAGAACCTTCTATTTGAATTCAGTTAACCTCATATTTATAATGCTTTTATCTTACTCCCCCACCCCTTCAGTGTGTACACTGAGCTAAGGTTTTAAAAGGAAGAGTTGTGGGCCTCCGCAAATCATTCTTGTATCACTTTATCTTTCAAAAATTTAATAGGATGTAAAAGACTACACACAGCAGAATCACCCTCAAAAGAGCCAGTACGGTTCCCCATCACTGTGTTTCTCAGTCACAGCCAGGAATCCCTACAGGGCCCAACACATTTCTTTAGGGGATTATATCAACATTCGGGAGAAATTCTCCTTTAGTAAATTATATACAGTTATGCCAAAAATAAGCCTGCGAACACACCTCTTTTTATCAATCAACCTGGACTGGATCAAACCCTAACCCTAACTTTATTTCCTTTCATTAAAAAAAATTTACAGCATTAATACTGTTCCTTTACATTAATAAAAACACTGTTAGTTTTTGGTTCCAAGGGGAACTGTCACCAGAGGAAACTGTTACATCCCATCAGACTTAGAAAACATTACCTCCATGTAAGTACACGGGATTGTAGCTTACCTTTGTCAAGTCCTCCACAGTCTCATTTATAGGACAGTTCTCCTCTATCCCTGATTTGAATTAGTCCACTGAGCTCCACATATGCCTCACTTTAGACTATCCTCTAAACAGGAAGTGGTGGGGCCATTATATTATTTGGGTATCCTTCATCATAGGTCATGTGAACGAAACTTCAACTTCCCAACAGCAAAAGCCTCTTTAAACTTCCATGACTACACTCATCCAGATTTTTCTTCTCCCTTCTAACTTCTCATCCCTTGATACATGCAAAGAAACACACAGTCCTTATTCTTGCCCTTTTCCGATGCCCAAGACCCCCTATAACTTGGCACTAACCTACGGCTTTCAGCCTTTCAATCTGCCCATGCTCTTGCAGGATGCAGCGCTTTGATGAATAAACCCCATAGGATGCATCCGTCCGTTTGATGGGTTTGTCCACCTTTCCACGAACTGCCATGTGGCCAGCTCCTTCCCAACACTCACATTTCGTTCACATGTCACTTCTTCTGAGATCATTTTTCGACATCCAAAATAAGGTCTCACCAGTAGCAGCCGCATCCCCATCATTCTAACATTGTGTTTTGTGATTGCCTCCCTCGAGTTCAACACTAACTGGGATGATCTTATTAATGTGTTTATGATGTTTCCCTCCCCCACACCTGAACTATAAGCTCTATGAGAGCAGGGTCTTGTCTGCTTTCCTCATGACTCTATTTTTCACACTTACAAATGTACTTGGCACATGAAAAGAATGAGACAAATGAATTCCACCTAAATAATTGCTATAAAGGCCCAATTCAATCTCTCTAGGCCTTCACAAACCTTCCCTGGCCACTCCTAGGGCCCGTGACTGTTTTCTCTTATTTCAAGTATAAGAGCAGAAGATTGAGGCATAGGTAGATACACTTTGCCTCCTCGCACAACCAAAAGGACGACAACAACAAAAAATAACCAGAATTGCCAGAAAATCGAACTGCATGGAAGTCTGACACCTCAGTGGTTAAAGAAGAAACATTCATTCACACCAGTAGGAGGGGAGGAGACAGGCAGCCAGGGCGGAAAGGACTCATGACAAGGCAGCTGGAGAACTGGGCAGCCCCACATTTGCATGGGGATAAACTGGGAGAAACAACTGGGGTGGGAGACAGACCGTGCAACCCAGGCTGGTTCCAGCGTGGGGAAATAAAGCCTCAAAAGCTCTGACAGTAAAAACCTGTGGGGGTTGAGGAAGCAGGAGAAAGTCCCAGCCCCACAGGAGAGTTCATTGGAGTGACCCACATGGCCCTAGAATGTACACAAACCCACCCATCCAGGAATCAGCACCAGAAGGGCCCAATTTGCTTGTGGGTAGTATAGGAAGTGACTGAAAGCAGGCCGAGAGTTGAGCAAAAGACATTGTTCCCTCTGGGAGTCCTACCCTACATACAGTCCCACAACACAGGGAACAAGGGTTGCCCTGCCCCGGGGAATATCTAAGGCTCCACCCCTTACTGCTTAGCAGGTAGCCAAAACAAAGAAATATGGCCCCAGT